AACAAGTCCCCACGTAGTCTTTTGCAAGCTCATCGGGGCTAAGCCCCTCCATCTGCTGCACGGGCAAATTGAATTCCGTCGCCAGGGATTGCAAAGCTGGACCTCCACTATCTACTGTAATTATGCTCCTTGACGCCGGGGCTTCATTGCAAAAGGCAGGTATAGTGTGTATATACCTTGAAAATCCCGTCCACTAACGCATGCGACTTGCTGTGTAGGCTTTCGGGCAAAGGCCCGGTAGTCCGAAACCTTAATACACAAATCGACAACTGATGAAACACGGAAAACCCGATAATACACAACTCTGAAACTCCCCGTTAGTTCGACTTCGACACCACCGACCGCACTCGGCCAGAAGTCCACCGCTACACATCTTGAGCTCCGAAGCTCATGGGGGGTTTCCGAAAATAGGGGATCCTAATATAGCACCCTAAAGAATAGGAACCTTACTATAAGGACCCCAAATAAGGTACCCCTTATTTTCGGACACCCCCTCATGGCACAATGCATCCACTCGAACCGAGGCGCTGGGTTCCTCGACATCGACATGGCTGGAAGAAGTCTGAATCCTCCTTCAGGTCTTCCCAACAGATTCGGCACATCATCGATGCGGTGTCAACCTGCTGTCAGAGTATTATCTTCCCCTAGGGCTCCAGTTACCTCAATAGTAGGTTACTGGGGTACATAATATATGGTTAGTAACCTACTATTTAGGTAACTGGAGCCCTTGGGTTCGGGTTTCGACATTCAGGACAGGGTGGGAAGCGCTCATGAGCAGAAGTTGCGAAGTCCGCGTCTTCACAGTAACCGCGGTCTTTACGAAACAAAGTATACTGCAAGTTATGCTTTATGTTGGTAGTGGCATTCGTCGTAGTAGCAGATGGAGCGCAGTGTCTGTTGATCAGCGCTGCGGCATTGGAACGTGTCAAAGACTTCAACAACCGAAATCTTCAATGAGATCTGGACACAGCGGCCTCTGAAACCGAGTCAGCGTTGTCCGTAAACTTCATGGCGGTGGCAAGAGGCACGGATCCATCAAAGCCTACCTGAAACCTGTGCTTCAGGCCTAGTGGCCTAGTGCTGGCCCTGCCTGGCACCCAAATCTGTGAAGAAGCTCGATGTAATTTCGTTTGATTTGAGCCTCATGCAGAGCCTTGAGTGAGCACATTCTCATGCGAAGCTCGACCTAACGTAAAATGTCTGAAGTCGATGGTGCTGAGTCAGTCTGGCTTGCTTGTGAGCTTCCCCTGCCTGTCCAATCACACGTCTGGAGGACTGCACTTGTTGCGTCGACTGCAGAGCTGAAAGCAGAAACAAGCGGTCAATGTGGACAGGTCCATGCCTGGATAACCATCCGTCAGATCGTATAAAGGCCCAAAATCCTAGTTGAACCTGAAGTCAAGCCTGAAACCTATCACTCCTTCCCCTTTTGTTTCTGGTTCTCTCCGCCTCTAGTGACTCTAGTGCCCCTGCTTAAATGTGTCCGTGAACTGGTGCGGAAATCGCATATCGTGTTCCGCTTCCTGCTCTTACTGCAGCTCGTAGTCGCTGTCGCAATTCTGAGCACCACTGGGGCTTGCAGAGGCTCTTGAGTTTGGCAACGGCTTAGCGCGAAGCCTGCAAACTGCAAACCCTCAACCCAATCGTTCACAGGTGCTCAACTTCATGTGAAACTTTACTGTACTCATATAGTCGGGAGAAAAATGTTGGTGATGAAAGATAGCATGCATACAACCACTGTACAGAGCAAACACGGACAAGCAACATCGAACAGTAATACAAGAACAAGCTTGGTCGCAAACTTCTCCGCGGCTGCCTCCAACATCGGCTCGAGACACCTGTTCATCCGATCTTTCCGCTAATGGAACTCGGGGGAAGTCTGCCTAGAGTCCCAAACACTCCTGGGGTTTAGCCGAGCATGCGTGGAAAGCAGGGGCAACTGGGCAACACGAGGCGTGAGCAACGAAGGCCACTGAGAACAGTCGAGACTGTTAAGACGCTGGACGGCTGCCCGAAGGCAGCAGTACCACGACCGGGAGCACGAATCTTGCATACCTTCGTGTACTACTAGTAGGTCATCTACTGGTTGTTTTTTCAAAACAAGGACCGCCTGCAGATCCGTCAAACATCGCCACGCCCATCATGCAGAGAAACCCCAATGAGTGCGCGTCCTTCAAACGCAGGCAAGGCTGACCCTTAAACCCTAAATAGCTGCCAACTCGACGCGAATCTCGCGTGAGGCCACGGGCCTTTCAGACAAAGACTTTGCATCGACGTCCAAAGTCACACCGAGGGAGCCTGGCCCAAATAAAGCTGAATTCACCAAATGCTGCGGCTACGCTAAAGCTCATGAAGACCACATATATGTATATATACACATGTATATGTGTGTGTATGTGTATATCGTCTTTCTATATATATATATAGAGAGAGAGAGAGAGCTCATGGAGATCAAAGTGTGACGCTGTGATGACATCGGCTACTGCCAGCGACTCTAAGACCAACTCCAACTCCTGCAGCTGCCCCGCCACCGCCAGGGCCACTATCGCTACTGCTGCTGCAGCTGCTACTATACTGTTACGACTACTGCTACGACGACGACGACGACGACTACTACTACTACTACTGCTACTACTACAACAACAACAACAACAACAACAACAACTACTACTACTACTACTACGACTACTACTAGAACTTTCGCCAGCCACCACAAGTCCAACAAGAAGCAGAACATCAGAACAACCAACGATTCGACTGATAGTAATCGGGGCTATCGACTGCTAGAACGAACAGCGTATTCAATCTACAGTTTTATTGTCAGCATGCTTATCAGGGCCCTCCTGTTGATGGACAAAATTCTGCATGACCCAAATATAATATAATACCATAAACCCCATAGTTTAGGTATATAATAAGGTCATGCAGGATTTTGTCCATCAACCGTCTCTCTCTCTCTCTCTCTGAGCGAAAGCCCGGGAGCTGAGGTTCGTGCTGAGGCAGCGCCGCCTCAGAAAATGTCCATCCATGGTCTACAGTAATGTAGGGGCCTTTTTCATTACAATAGGGTTTGGGGGTATACTCTCCTATAATTATAACAAGGAGCCCCTAAACTAGTATGGGTGATTAAGGCCCCTATGTTACAGCAGGGCTTTGGCTTTGATCATGCAGGGATAGTTGTTCCTGAGGGGCACTGGGCTAGAGGTATGGATGTTGGGCAGGTAGGGGGGGGGGGGGTGATCACACCACCATGGCGAATCTGGGCAAGTGTTTGACTGGAAATAGGTCTAAATTCAGCAGCAGCAAGACGTCGCAACAGATTTCTGGTGGAGCAGCCTCTTAGCGAGCAAGCACAGGGTCTTTTCCTGAGGGCCACCCCCGTTTCAGGACTCAGATCTCGAAGTGTCTTCGGTTGTTCCCTCCGCACCGACGCAATGCGCATGATTAAGCGAGCTGGAAAGCTGACAGGAAATCAAGGGAGCGGTTCAAGAAAAACCTGCAGGTCCATGAACACTAAACATATTATAGGGGAACAAATATTTTTGCCCCTATAATATGTTTAATGTGCAAAAGGACCTGGAAACCACTTGAGAGGCCTGAGCCCAGTGTGGGTTCAGCTCCCCAGTTGGCCCAAGCTTTGGCCCGGGGGCTCAGGAGTTTCAGGGGTATAGAGGCACTAGGTTCCCCAGTAGCCCCTTAATGATTATATAGTTTTGATAAGGGAACCCAAAAGAAAGAGGGCAAAAGGGTACTACTGGGGACCTAGGGCACATGATCCATGGAATTTGCCGAAACTGTCATAGGGAGGCTGCCTATGCTGGAAGTGGTGATCCGCCTAGCATCGGTAAAGACTGCGATCGGAGCCCTCTGCATCCACGACCTTGTCTCGATAACCCTTTGCCGGGCTCCTGGCGCTTCAGGTGGGAACTCGGCACCCTTCGCCGTGCAAAGCGGTGGTGCTGCCGACGATGGCCTTAAGACAGGTCGAGCCCCAAAGTTAAAGATGGAAGCTCATACCAGCTCGTCCCATCTCACGTTGTACAGTATACTACGCGGTCGTTCATAACATATCATCTACAATGTGGAACATGGGGCCTGCTGGGTAATTAACTGGAGGGTGCCAGTGCAGTCAATCTAGGTCGATCGGGCCTGCCTGATTAGGCTCTGCTTCCTCTGATGTTTTGACACGCCTGCCGCTTCTGTATAAGATTGAGTTCGATCGCGCGACCATGCATCCACCCGTATCTAATCGAGGCCCCTGCTTTTTCTTGGTGAGCAGCTGCACCTGGTGCTCGAATGATGGTTCCGGAGTTCCGGGTGCAAAGTAGGCAGCACTCGAACTAATCATCGTGAGCCTGTGCGGGAAGGTGCGGGCAACCGTATATACTTGTCTCCAACATTCCTCAGAGCACATCACACACACCCATGCTTTGCAGCAAATGTAGAATCTTGAAAAGCACGCGGCACCACTCATTGCATTGCAGCAGAAACAGGGGCTGACAATTACTGCACAGTAAACGGGTGTGGTACTATCCAGGACTCTGCACTGCCAACAAGAAGCACACCTCGATATCCGGGGGCCCAGCACCCAGCAGGAAGGGGGCGAAGTCCGCAGAGAGACACTGCGCGAGCTCCCAGCAGCCCTCCTCACCAACTCGTGTCTTTTTTTGTCCATGGTAGCTACGATTGGTGTCAGCAACCTTATTTGAGGCTCTCCCTGTTTTTGAAGCAATGGGCTTGGTGGATGCCAGCACGCATGAGAAACCCAAGGACTTGGTATCACTGAAACCCTGTGACTTGAACAGCACGCGTCGCGAATGCATCCGGCACGACTTCAAATTGCATCACATAGCCAGTGGACTCTTTTTTACCAGATTGCGCTTTGGCATCTATGCTCGCCTTCAAAGCACTGGTATTGGGCATCACATCGTCGCAGGTTTGGCATCACTGCCAGTCGGATGATGCGAGACAAGGCCGTTTCGAAGCTTGGGCCATGCCTCTCAGGGTCGTCGGCCTCGACCACGTCCTCCACCACCGCCTCCGCGGCCTCCACCTCCGTAAGTTTGCCGTCCTCGGCCGCCCCCGCCTCCTCCGCCACCACGGCCTCTGCCGCCACCGCCACCAGGCCCTCCACCACCATACCCGCGCTCGAACTGCTCCTTCAGCATCATCTCTTCCTCTTCATCTAGGAAGTCGTCGTCAAACTCATCTTCCATGCCGCCCTGGCCGGTGAAGATGGCGACGAACTGCTCTCGCTCCAGGCCTAGCACTTCCAGGAGCATAGCCACATCGCGGAAACTCATCACCTTCTTGCCCTCAAACTCCTCCGACTGGAAGTTCGCCATGAGGGCCATGGCCATCTCATCCTTCTCCCAGCCATCCAGGACTTCCGGAGGAGGCCCATCTAACTCCATGTAGTCACCCTCCTCCTCGTCGAACTCGTCGCCATACTCCTCCTCCTCCGAGTAGAGCATGTCCTCGTCATCCCGGACATCTTTTCGCTTACCCACACTGGCCGGTGCTGCCTGGCGCGCAGTGCGAAATGCGCTTCGGGCCCTAGACGGGCCGAGGAACGTCGAAGCGCCTGTCGCGGAACAGAGAACTGCGAGCAAAACCGCGCCCGCCGCACCCAGCAGACCCACCTTCCGCGCCCCCATGCTGCAAAAAGCCCTCAAAATTGCCCTGCAAATGCTGGAGCCAAAATGGCCGTGGGCTATGCTTCAAACTTCCATTCTTGGTAGGCACGAGCTTCATCGATCATTCGCTGCTCAATATCAGGATTGAAGAAGCTGTTTGGGCAGACGGTTTACTGCGAGTCGGTCACACGAGCTCTGTACATGGTGGTGCTGCTGCGCTTGCTGCTGCATCCACTAACACTACGACGACGGCCGCGGCTACCACCCCCGACAGTGACTCGGCGAGGAAGAGCGCGATTCTGCTGCTTGCCATGACGCGCGAAGTGGCAAATAACATGAACAGTAGGGGTGGGTCTGGCGGTGGGGGTGGGAGATCGGGGTGGCAGTGGTGTTGCCGGTGGTATTGGTGTTGTGTTGGTCGTAGAAACATTCAGAAAATTAGCGACGACGGCGACGACTGCAATTTGTGGTTGAACATAGGGTGCGATTTGGAGGCTTTTCCAGGACTTGGCATTGGCTGTCTGCTGCTACTCTGTACCCTTACCCACCAAAGGGCCTCATCGAAGGGAAGCGGTGGCAAGTGCTGCAGTCGGGACAGCAGCCAGGGTAGCTGTGAGCTGGCGGCGGCCTCCAGCATATCATCAATGCCGAAACGACTGCTGAGTGTGAGAACCGTCATAATCGCAACATCGTGAAGCTGCCCCAACATGAAGTTCCTGCGGGCCCGAACACCTTGCATAATCTCTTGTCCGATGAAAACGATGAATGTGCGCCTTGCTCTCGCTAGCTCTTGTTTGCCACTCTTACCACTCTTACCCTTATAGAGCCCCTAACGACATATTCAATATCGTTGTTGGCGGGCCTCCACCAGGAGCCACCAGTCCTGGGTAAAGGCGGGGTGAAAATAAGAAACCGAAGGGGTTTGAGATTTTCGGCTATAGGCTCTACTGCTGCGGACAGATAGAAGGTTGTTGTTGAGGAACCTTTGATCTGCTGCATGTTAGAAAATGCACCCTGTCTTGCTGACAAACTCAACAAGAAATTCCAAATGCAAGTAACACGACAAACACTTCTCCCCGACGAGACTCCAGAACGGCCCCATTACCCAACAAAAACAATCCCCGGCATAGAGAGTCTGGTCCAAGCTAGCGGCCGGATCCAGTAGCTTCGCCGTGACTTTTACCGCCTGCAAGTTTCGGATCATAGCTCTGATTGCGGCCCCATGCCTTGCTTGCATGGCAGAGTAAGCCCGAAACCCTAAGATATCTAAGAGACACCATGGTTCAGGATCAAGGACAGATGCATCTGAGACTTCAGACCAGGCAAAACAGTTCGTCTGTTGGTGTGTCGGTAGACAAGAATTTGTGCATCGGGCTCCAGATATCCCAGATTATTTATCCTATCTTGACCCATATCAGATTGGCGTCAGGTCTTGCATGAGGGAGGCTCGTCGTGTCATCTGCAAATGCTCGGCAAACATCATTTCACAAAAGTTGAGAAGGCCTCTTCTTTATTGCCTGCAGGATGAGTTCTTTGTAGGAAGTATACCAGATGATGCTGGATTTTCTTCCAATCATCTACAGCAACCTGCGCAACATGTCGTGGGCCTCTCAGACCCATGGTAGGAACCACATCGGCACCCCCTCCCCCTTCCGGACCAACCTTAGGATCCCGCCTAAGAAATCCTCAGGGTCTTCAAGCGGCAGCAGTGTTTCAGACAGGGAAGCTGCGGCTGCACCTCCTGTCTGGGCAGAGCCGGCTCCTCTGCCCCAAGCCAGTGGAGGAAGCGCCTGACTCTGAGGACTCGGCCGCCATTCTCTCATCTTGTAGCAGTTTACAGCATTATCGGAAGCCAATATGACGATAGATAGCGGAATACAAGCCGTGTATGTATATATATATATATATACAAAAATAGCAGACCATAGCATAACATAACGTAGCACACCACATCACACAGCACACACACACACACGCATACCTCCCTACCTACCTACCTACCTACCTACCTACCTACCGACCGACCGACCGACCTACCTACCTACCTACCGACCTACGGACCTCCCTACCTACCTACCTCCCTCCCTCCCTCCCTACCTACATCCATCCATGCATACATGCATACATACATACATACATACATACATACATACGCACATACCTACCTACCGACCTACCTACCTACCTACCTACCTACCTACCTACGTACGTACGTNNCATGCATACATACAAACATGTACATGCATGCACTTACAAAAACACATACATGCATATCCCCAAACATTCATGTGTTTCTTGCATAAACATACAAACATGCACATAAACTTACATATACATACATATAGACACATTAAAAAAAGTGTACATTGATATAGCCGCATTTGCATATGCATATATATATGTGCATATATACATAT